TTGCCAGTAAACACTTAATCTGGCTGATGAATCTTCACGTGACATGTTACAAAGTCTGTGTTATTAACTCTGTAATTAGCTGCCATTCTTCTTATTTTACGGCGCTGTTGTTCAATCGGGAAACGCTCTCTGTTGAGGAGAAAAGCATGAATTTGTTTGTATATGGATTATCCATTGTTTAAATGTCCCGGTTGTCAAAAAGGAGGCAGAGCTGTGGAGAAATGCTAGGAGCTAACTGGGCGCTAACCGTATCATTCAAATATATTGAATGTCGCAATGCTGGCAAAGAGAGGAAGTGACGTAAGATTTGCGCATGTGTGGTACCGATCGGGTTTCCGGTACGGATCGGGTAGCGACACTAGCTTAGCACATCGAATGTGTTAGCCTAGCTTAGCACACATAGAATGTGTTAGCCTAGCTTAGCACACACAGAATGTGCTAACCTAGCTTAGCACACACAGAATGTGCTAGCCTAGCTTAGCACATCGAATGCGTTAGCCTAGCTTAGCACACATAGAATGTGTTAGCCTAGCTTAGCACACACAGAATGTGTTAGCCTAGCTTAGCACACACAGAATGTGCTAGCCTAGCTTAGCACACACAGAATGTGCTAGCCTAGCTCAGTGTGACTGGAAGATGAGGAACGCTGTGATCTAAAATGGATGCAGAGCTTAAACTTGACAGTCAGGTTGTAAGATCTAGCTTTTTTTAATGTGAGGCACTTCATCTAAAATAGACCCTATTTTATCAAGGAAGCTTTTCGAGACGGTAATCCATGCCTTTGATACATCGAGGCTGGATTACTGTAACGCACTTTATTGTGGGGTTAGTGATGCGTCCATCAGGCGTCTGCAGGTTGCGCCTAATCCTAACCCTGCAGTGCGACGTTTAACTGGCACATAAAAATCTGAGCACATTTTTAATTAACTCCAGTGGCAACCTGTGCATTTCAGGATCCTTTATAAATCTCTTAATGGCCTGACTGCCCCCCTCCCCAAAACTACTACAGCCATATACACCTGCCCGCTCCCCTAGGTCTGCCAATCAGCAGCTCGTTAAGGTACCAAAGACTAAGTATAAATTTAAAGGTGGCTGTGGTTGTGCTGTAGCTGCTCCAAAATTGTGGAATGATCTGCCCTCGCACGTTAGGCAGGCCTCTTCTCTTTCTGACTTTAAGACTCTTCTAAAAACACATTTTTTTATTTCAAATTGCTTTATAAAGGTGGTATGGTAAATGGACCCAACAATGGACTATGGGAAGCGCTTCGGCTCCCTTAAGGCCAAAACAGAGAGAATGAGGAGGAGCTTCTTCCCTCAGGTATCTGGTCCCTCAACCAGGTGTAGGACTGGACTCTCTCTCATTCCTGTACATCAGCAACTGTTTATTCCCACACGGTTTATTTGCACAGTTTTATAACTTCTTAAATTTGTTTATCTGCACATTCTATTTGTTTTTATTTATAATTTTTACCTTCAATTTTACTGTAAATTTTTACATTTTAAACGTGTATATTATGCAAATTTCTGGCTAGTTTAGTTTTATGTTTAGTTTTTTATGGTCGGGCATTGCACAGCAACAAGCATTTCACTGCATGTCGTACTGAGTATGATTGTGTATGTGATAAATAAAATTTGAATGTGTAAATATTAGAAGCAGAGGGAAGTTTATTTGAAGAGCAGAACCAGAGGGATCCCACGAGCTTTTCTATAACGCTGGAAACAGAGGGTTTACGTGAACTTTACATGAACGCCGTGAACTTGAATGCTAGAAGTCTGATATCACGTCTCAGATTACAGTTCCTGAAACATCCAATAGCTAACTGCTCATTAAAGGGACGTCCACACAGGAAGAGGCTGCACAGCCAACGGAGAACATAAATATCAAAAGCATTCAGGTAAACAATGACATGTGAAATGACTTCGAGGTGGGCGGGTCCTTTTGTTAACCGCCTAAGACCCAAACTCTTTCATGGCAGCATTTTTAATTTCTCTTTGCTATTTGGGCTGATTGGGACCTGATAAATGTAAAAACAAAGAATTACCTGATTTTTTTTTTTTACCGGATTTTTGTATCTGAGAAACATGAGATCGACATAAAAGAACATTCGTTTCAAATTTCGATCGAGCAGTGGCAGTATAATGTCCTCGTAAGTGGATATCAGGCACTTGTAGAGCAACATTTAGTATTTTGGTCTAGACCCAAAATGTGATGTCCACATATGTGGACGCAGGTCCTCGGAGGTTAAACTGATCTCAGCTTTGAGGACAGAGAGGAACCACTGACTGACACAGAAGAAGGGGGAAGTCCACCAGAGGATTATCCCACTGTCAGCTACAAATGCATCCACTGTGGGCAAGGAGTCTGCTCTAAATGCTGATATAAAAACCATTGAAACTGTAACCAGAACCAGTTAAACCAGTCAGAATCATTCACACACCACCACTGATGCTCAGATGATGAGCGTGGATCAGTCACACCTCCAGTTTCCTCTCACGACCTTCTCCTCTTCCCTCGTTCTTTGTTTTCCCCCCTCTCTCTCCTGCATGTGTCACAGTGACCTCAGGTGATGTCTAATGAAAACAAAGAGCTGGGTTCCTCCACTTTTGTAGAAGAAATTCTTTATTTGACACAAACGTTCGTCCCACAGCAGTGTGGAAACGGCTCCGGCCATGCTCACATCCACGTGAAGCCTTGGACATTTGCACCTGTACCATTGTAGTGCTGTGAGCCCACACATGATGGCGCCATGGTACTTTTTTATGTCCGATACCGATATCATAAATTTGGATCTGCCGATACCGATATTTGTTTTTTTAATGTCTCGCTGTTCATACTCACATTTTAAAAAACAAAACAAGCTATTCTGTTACTCTGTATGCAAAAAATACACCCCAAACATTTCACAGTTCAGCAATACTGATCTTTGTATTTACATATTTAGCAGAACTTTAAGTATTTAAAGTAAAATTCTAAAATAATTTAAAATGCAATTTTATGCAGATTTCAAAAAGGTCTTTGTTCTGAAAAAAGTGCAATATCAGCACAAAATAATCTTTATATTCAACAACTAAAAAAGTGGAACCTTTTACTCTTAAAGCTGAACATAAACAGACACCCAGCGTGGAAAACAGTGCAAATAAATGCAAACACTTCATGACACTCACCTGATCAGGATGGATGTCAGTGTGAGCCGTTTCTATCACATTTAACCTAAGGCTACATTTTGTGTCCTTTACATACATATAAACACATATTTTTCATAGTTTTTTTCTGAACCATGAAACTGTTTGGCCATGTGTCGTCCCTGCGTCGGGAGCACACGCTGGGCTCTCCAAATCACACACAAACATCCCACATTCCTGATTTTAAGTTCACAGACACGTCTCATAACGACTAACTTCTCCTGAAACGTTGGAGGGTTTTATACAGTAAAGTCACAGGATAAAAATAATTATCAGTCATTTGTTAAAATAATAATTTTCTGTTGTAACCCTCAAACTGAATGGTAATGTAACCACAAACACTTCCACATCTAATGTCTTTAATGGAGTCGGACTAAACTGGATCCACACTCCGTGCCGGCGAATGCTCGCGGCATGGGGGCAGCGGGTTTCTCCCCAATATCCGATCCAGTAATTTAAGTCAGGATCGGATCGATACCGATGCTGTATATCGGTCCGGTCCAGAAGAGTTTGTTCACCCTGAGTCGTCATCACTGGAGCTCAGATTCCTAATTTCAGCTTTTTAATCTGATGATCGAACTCTGAGCGGACAGATCAGAGAAAGTTTGCTGATGGAGGTGAGACAGCAGCAGACTCTGGATCAGTTTGAATCCAATAAAAACGGTCCTGCCAGGTAGGTGAACCCTGATTCACTGATTCCTTCGGGTGGATTCGGTTCCAGGCTGACAAACACGATGATGAAGTCTTCTAAACCAAACATTTAATCTCAAAATAACAGCAGTTTAGTGACTAATGCTTAAGTAAAGACAGACCTCATCTTACAGTGTCCTGGTATGCAAACAGGACAAGCTGCTGATTTTTCTGAACATGTGATTTCAGTGCAGATTTTTGGGCGACTGGTATCGACACTGCTCGGCTCGGCCGGTCTTACCTTCAGAGTTCTGACGGGATGCCGCTCCCCGGATCCTGAAGGCCTGCCTGGTTCTGCTGCGTTCTCCAAAGCTCCAGCTCTTTGGAACCTTGCTGGGACTCTCTTCCAAATTGGGCTCTATGCTCGGGGACCGCCGCAAGGCCTGGACTCCCCCAGGACCTCCAGGTACTCCAGGACCAATGCCAGGAGCAGGACCCATTCCAGGTGCAACTCCTGGGCGAACGGGAGGAACCAGTAAGAAGGAAGGAAGACAGAGTGCTACTTCAGGTCCTGATTACAAGTAACGCTCTTTGCTTAAATGGCTCCTCCTGGATATGACTGCCAGTCCTTGATGAGCACAAACCAGTAACCACCAGCTCACAGGGGTGCAGTGTTACCTATGTTGCCTCACAGCCTGAGGGTCCTGATCCAACGATCAGTGGATGGCGTGTTGTCTGACTCTATGTTTAAAGACTCCTTTAGCGCGTAGATGACATCAGTATCAGGATTGCTCCCAGACCAAAAACAAGAACGTTAAAAAATATCAACACCCACCGTGCTGAGGAGAACCTTTGCCTTTGGTTCCTGAACTCCGAGGAGACGAGAAGACCCTCTCCTTTAGACTCACCTTCTGACTGTGGGAGGGAGGAGAAAGACCAGGAGATTTTTAGTCACATCTGGAAAATGATCAGCTCTTTGGGTTATGGTCATATAATTACATAACTAACCAAACAGATACACTTTAGTCTTCCTAGGTGATAAAAACTAAGGAGCTTGGAAAGAAAAAGACTGGAAGACATTTCACGTCTCATCCAACAGTCTTATTCAGCTGTGAGACCTCACCCCATCAGGTTTGGTCTTACAGTGGTTTCACCCGAAACCTCTGGTGATAACGACCGACACCCTTTTTTCACTCCTTGGCTCATGAGATGAGGAACGTGATTAATAATGGGTCAACGAACCTCAACCAAGACACTTCTTGGATGAGAGGTGAAAGGTCATCACAAACATGTCAGAAGTCCAGGTGCTTTCTTTCCAAGCTCCTCATAGTACGATGACCTGATGGCTGAAAACCTACACAGACACACAGGTGTTAAACCTGGAAATATTCCCTGATTGCAGAGACTCAGAGGAACAATTTAGGGTGATTGCTGCTGATGACTTAGACAACAGAGGGTTCACCTCTTGAACTTCACCAAAGGAAATATTCAAATAGAAGGATGTAAGGCAACATGGATCTAAAAGGCTTTATGTGACAGCGTTTCTAAAGCGATGGTTGAATAAGATGTTGGGAAATCTGATGTGAGTCCTTCGAGAAGAGAACACGGACCTGGGAGAAGGTTCAGGCTGAGCATCCTTCCTGCAGGGAGATAAAGATTGCCATCAATCACTGACTTTAAAGACGATTATTCATCAGATTATTAAAGATTATTATTGTTCTTCAGTTAAACACCAATGAGCCAAACAGTGACATGGTCAGCATGACATCACCCTTTGGTTTAAATGTTCTAAATTCAATTCAGTTTAGTTTTATTTATTTAGCTCCAAATCACAGCACCAGTCGCCTCAAAGCGCTTTGTATCGTAAGGTCAAGACTCTACAATCATATGACCCCCTATGAGCAAGCACTTTGGCGACAGTGGGAAGGAAAAACTTCCTTTTAACAGGAAGAAACCTCCAGCAGAACCAGGCTCAGGGAGGGGCGGGGCCATCTGCTGTGATTGGTTGGGGTGAGAGAAGGAAGACAGGATAAAGACATGCTGTGGAAGAGAGACAGAGGTTAATAACAACTATTAAATGCAAAGTGTCTGTTAGCATTTTAGCTCCTGAAAAGTTGTTCTCAGGTGTTCTCAGGTGTTCTCAGGTTAGTTCGAGGAGGTTTTTGGCTCACTGGTGCAGTTATGGTGCAGTCGTTGTGTGGAAACTTTCAGACCTGAATGAGAGTCCGGATTTGTTCTTCAGGTTCCTTAGTAAGTCCAACTGATTGAGAGGAGGGATCAACCTGCAGACACAAATTTCACAATCACACAGTTTCAGAATCCCTGAGGAGTGATTGGCTGCAGGTGCACAGGTGCAGTCTTACCTATACATGGGGACAGACACTGTGCTCTCGTAATAATCCCAGGTAGATGTCAGATCGGTTCGGCTCAGATTTGTGGCGTAAACCCTCCAGGCCGCCTGTCGACACAGGAAGGAAGCAGCTGACTCCTAAAAGGTCTCACGTGAGGGTGCCAGTGTAGATTCTCACCGCACAAAGTCAGTGTGATGTCAGAGCATGGCTCACCTGTATGAGTCCTGCTGCAGGGTTTCGTCTCTTCTCAAAGTGTTTCTGTCTGTGCTGCTCCTGAACCTTCAGAGCAAAGCCAGAACCCAGAATCCCCTGAAGAGAAACACAGACAGGTGAGCTGGCACGAACAGGTGTCTCAGGTAAACCCAGGTAGATAAAAAACTGACTCACAGCCGGCAGAGCAAAGAATGAAACTCCAATCAGAGTGAAGGTTGCAGCCAGCAGACGTCCATTCCAGGTGATGGGGAACTTGTCTCCATAACCGATGGTTGTCAAGGTGATCTGAGACACAAACAAACCGACTACATCGTCCCATCACGGAGGAGGAAACACCAGTTGTTTCAGCTCAGGTGTACACACCTGTACCACACCTGTGCTGGATGTCCTGTCAGTACTGATTAGGTGAATGTGTTTTTTACTGCCATGCTTTTAGTTCATGTATTTTGTTTTGCACTACGCATATTTTATATGTCATTCGGTCATTTATTGCGGGAATTCTCAGGAACTTTTGTACTGCATTGGTTCTGCTGGTGCACCTGAGTGAGGTGCACGGCCATGTTGAAGCAGCAGAGGCCAATTTAAGTTGGAGGAAGTTCAAATGTTCTTAAAAGTATGTGTGACGTGCTCAAAGCATGGGTCAGCCAGCGAGGTTTGTTGTAGTACGGCGGTCCACGGACGGTTTAATGTCAGACAATATTTTCACGGACCTTTAAGGTGTGGCGGATAAATACAACAAAATAAAATAATACAACCGAGACAAAAGCGGTGGGATTTAGTAACAATAAACGTGAATTCACTGTGTAATTGTGTAACTTTATTAGCAGCGTCCTCCTGAAGTGCACCAACAACACAGAGTAACGTCCTCCTCTCTGCCCCTTAATGCTCTCCGGTTGCTATGGTAATGCATAAATATTTATTTCAAAATAAGACGCACACGGGAAAGATCCAGGGAAACAGTTAACGATAAAAACCCTGAAAACCATAAATTTCACACCCGCTGCTGTAGATCATTTGTCTCTATTTCACCCGTCTTACTATCTCATTGAATTTTATGCTGTTTGAGTTCGACGGCGGCGTAATTTGTGATCAAGGTGATGCTGTAACAACAGCAATCCTGAGATTTTACAGCTCAGCAAAGCCAACCTCATGCCAGTGATGCTGTTTATACCTGCTGCTTTGCAGCTCAGGTAACTAATCACAGGTAAACACCTGATCTCAGGTGAGGTGTGGGTGTGTATGTGCAGTCATCTTACCAGTCCCCACCAGAGGGCGTCAGCATATGTCTCAAACTGTTCATTATCTTCTTTTTCTGCCAGGTAAACGAGGAAACTTGCCAGAATGAGACACAAGAAGCCGATGTACCAGGCTGTGATCAGCTCCTGCAGTGGACGAGAGACTAGAGGGTAAAGTCAGGACGGAGGAGAGCCCGGTAGGCATCCTGCTGAAACGCCTCAACCGGCTTCTAGCAGCACAGCAGCTACTTTAAGCTCCTCCACAGCTCGAGGTTCACAATCCATGACACACTGAAGGTTAAGGATATTCCCTTAGACTAATTTCCTCGTCCGTTAAGAGAAAAAACGACTACACCTGTGAACTAGTCTAAAAGTAAGAAAAGTTTCGACTACATGACCTGACAGTTTATGACATCAAGGTTTGGAGGTGCCGGTCAGAGAGCGCACCCTGAATTTCTAAAAGTTTGTGGACTTGATGAATATGAAGGGTGAGCCCTGCGTTTGTGAGCTCTCCACCATGGACATGAAGCTGGTGCACGGTGACCTCTGCAGCACCAACTTGAATAGAATAAAATAGAATAGATCTTTATTGTCCTGTTACAAGAACAATAAAAGACAGTTTGGAGTCTCTGTGTTAGCAGCCTGCAGATTTTTACATTGAAATTCCTTCAGAGAAACCAAAAAGAGACTTAACGATGTTCCTGCACAGATCTTAGTTATATACGCCATATAAAGGAGCAGCGTGATGATCGGTGGTAGTGCACACAGGGAGAGACCAGAGGTGGGAATGTTGGTTCCATTATAATAAAGTGAAAATATCCGTACATGTAAACAGCACAGTCGACGTTAAATCAGGGTGGAGGCAGGACATGCTGGGCTGGAGATAGCTGGGCTCTGCTGGTTGGCAGTGCAGAGGTTTCACTGAAGGTTTCTGGATTGTTTTCCACAAACTTTCTCCGTACATGTTGCAGTTGATCGTGTTGTCCTTCTCCAGCTGTTGCGTCTGAGGTGGACAACCAGATGTAACTAACCCAGATGCTCCTTAGTTGACTGGCTAGTTGAGGGTTAATGTTTTTCAAAATCCTTTTAACAACATCACCTTCACTTACAGTCGGCTTCCAGCGTGTGCAGAGTGATTGATACATGTAGGCAAAGTCTCTGATGCTCTCAGCCTCTTTTTGGACTGTGCTCCGCACTCTCTCAGCCAGCTCATAGTCTCCTGATAGGAACGCATCATTTCCAGGTTTGGATTTCATGGGATCCCTTGAGGTTCCATGTAGAACATTACAAAGAGTAATAAGCCCCTCGTCAGTGAGTGGGTTGAGGCCCAAGAAGTCTCCCCCCTCTCTAGGTACTGACGAGGATCAGACTCATCAGCTTTTCCAAATGTTGGGAAAGGCACTTTGATAGGCCGCTTCCCCCCATTCTACTCCTCGTTTCACCTCGGACGGTTAGTTGGTTACAACCTGGGTTGGCCCCCACTCTTATATGTTTCTCTCAAATATGTCGTCTGAATAGTTTGCAACCCTGCATGTCCAGGTGCCGGGACAGAGAGAAGGATCCTCCTTTATCGGTTGGATGACATCAGGTATGAGTTTGGTGGTTATTTGACTGTACTGGTCCTTTAAACTTCACTCGTTTGACAAGTTGTTTTCTGTGAGATTTGTGTTCATTTGTTCCATTTGAAAAACTGTTTTTTGTGTTCAGTGCTCGTGTTTAGCTCCTCCTCCTCGTCGTGTTGGTTCTCCACAGGTTTTTAGGCCGTTCCAGATCCTGATCAGCAATATTTGATGACGTGAACAGATTCACTTCCTGTGTTCTTTAATTGATCAAAAATGACCCCATGGGTTGTTTTTCTTCAAAATCTTTAAAATGAAAAGTTGTAATATATTCATATTCCAGGTATTCCTCATAAAATATGTTTGTAACATGAGGCCATTTGCATTTTTATTTATTTTTTCATTAATTT